AAATTTATTAACTTTAATGCGTCCTTTCAAACATCAAAAGTCTATATTAACTGCTATAAGGTTTCATGTTTCAAACAATTTTCTATTCCGACCTTGTCCTCAATAATGAAATTACTAGTATGTTTAGTTTTCTTATATTTCTTGAGATTACTTCAGTATCTGTCTATATTTCTGAGATGAGGTATTATGTACACAATTTACATTATTTGGACTATTGTCCTATCTTTGTTGCCATATTTATTACAACATTTCGGCCATTGTCTGCTCTGGCATTCTTCAGGTGGTTGGAATGTTGAAGTGAACACTTTATTTCGCTCACTGGTGTAGACTGTTCTAGTTCCATGTGCCATGTTTTAATTGATATCAGTTATCTCCTGTTAATTTCCCTCTGAAAGTTCTCCACTGCCTTAACTGGGTATTGAACTCCCACTGTTTTGGGTCCTGTCACTGGATCTAACTAAAGCCTTCATCCCCTGTGCCATGTGTCCTTGAGAAGAAGGCCAGAGTGTACAATGGCTGAAACACTGTCATAAATATGGTGACAAAGATGAGGACAATAATCCGAATAATGTAAATTGTGTACATAATACCTCATCTGAGAAATATAGACAGATACAGAAGGGCCGAAACGTTGTAATATGGCAACAAAGATGAGGACAATAGTCTGAATAATGTAAATAATGTACATAATACCTCATCTCAGAAGTATAGGCAGATACTGAAAGGCCGAAACGTTGTAATAAATATGGTGACAAAGATGAGGACAATAGTCTGAATAATGTAAATAATGTACATAATACCTCATCTGAGAAATGTAGACAGATACTGAAGGGCCGAAACATTGTAATAAATATGGCAAAAAAAGATGAGGACAATAGTCTGAATAATGTAAATAATGTATTACTTATATAAAAGAATGCCTTTTAAATTGTTTTATTGTCTTGCCATTTGTTCTTCTGTTATGACTCATATGAGGAATCGTTAATTTTTCCAATACTAAAACCAACAAAAGACAGGAAGTTGTGAAGGCATATAGCATATAAAAAGACT